ATTTCTAGGAGGCAAAATGAGCAAGAACGCTCATTTGTACATCTTTCTAGAGAGAAACAAATGGCCTTTTTAGAAAATGAACCATCGATAAGGAAATGTTGGCAGTTTGTTCAAAAAATGCTTGAATTCAAGAAGTTTTAGATTTGCGTGGTTTTTTTTTGAGTTGCAAAATCCACTTGAACATGACGCTGCTTTTTTCGAAGTTTCTCAAGAACCATTCGAGCCACAGAATTCGTTTTGGCATCGTTGGATAGAGAATTGAATTGGGAGGGTCATGACCCCCCTGAGGATGCAAGCCCCTCGTGCTTGTGAAACGTCAGCAGGAAATTCTACCGAACGACGGCCTAAAAACCCGAAAAACCCATTAGTTTCAATCGAGCCATTATTGCTCTGACCTAATACCCCGTTCTAGTATTCAGACAACAATAGACTAATTAGAATACATTCGCACTTATCGGCCGATTAAGCAAAAGACACTGTAATAGGATTCAGCGGCGCCTAGTTTTCGCCCACCATTAACTCCCTGACATTATAAATCGGCTCACTCCAAGAATTGCTCACAAAAAGTCGCCTACATGTGACATTGTGCCCAACATGGTAGTCTTATGGTCGTTTACCAGATATAAATGGCGATCAGACAACCAGATTAGATCAAATGGATGGGCATCGCTGGCGAATTTGACGCTGTAACACCTTTCCTTGCTAGTTGGCCTTTTTGCCAGCCATCCCAGTTTTCATCATAAACATTCATATTTGTTTTTACAGCAATGGACGGCTATTAGATTTATCTGTCCCAATGTTTCCGCTGGTAAAACATCGTAAAACCGTCGATTTTCTCATGATGGACTGCAGAGGAAAAAATTGCGAAAGTGACCACGTTTTTCGCGCATATCCTGCATCGATAAAACTGAGAGAATCCATAAAATAATTTCTCATCTGCATAATTAGTCCCATTAATATGGCCGCATGATTCACAGTTTAATTACCGAGCGGGAGCAAAAACTAAATGTACTTGGAGTAATTATTTAATTGTATCTTTGCACTTTTGCCTGCCACATGTTACTGCCGGTAAACGGGTCCAATATCTTATTTATAACACTCGCATCCACATTTTATAGTTCGAGTATTTTAGCACATGCCGTAATTAAGTGCCATTAGACGCCATCTTGAGTACCGTTATTTTTTTATCGGAAATTCATATAGACATAAGCGGTTCATTTGCTTGCTGTCCGCATGAATTATTCAACAGGACCCCATACAAGTAACGTTTGAGATGGACATGAAAGTTTAGTACATTTTCAAGACGTTTCGCCGGTGGTAACTAGACGAATCTTCAGGAGTGAGCAGTTTCAAAAATATTTTTTATTAATCGCTGAGGATGGTGGAAATTCAAACTTTCCAAACTTCTAAAAGAAAGCCTGCTCTTTCCAAAGGAGATTCTAAGTTAAAAATTAATCAAAGTCAAAAACTCGTTTCCAAAATCCTGATGATGGTGCCAATTTGATATTTTCTGGAATTATAATAAAAATTCCGCTCTTTGAAATGGAGTTTTCGGCATTTTCGTGCTCATTTTATGCTTAAGGTTCGAATTTTCAAATTTTGACCAGTTGAAAGTGTTTCGAACTCAAAATTTTCGAATGAAATTGTCAACTACGGTGGAAAACTGAAACTTTTACGGTTAAAAACAAACTTGACCGAATCAATTAAATGCTCTTTTCGTTGAGGTACAAATTTGTTTCCATATTTCGAGCTGTTGAACTGCGCAATTTTTATCAATTGAAAAAATCTCTCTTAAATCCCTGATGACGGTGTCAATTTGAAACTTTCAACAGTCATAACACGGACGTTTCTCTCTTGCGTAAAACCTTCTTGGAGTTTCTAACTTTATTACAAATTAGGATACAAATTTTCTAACACGGATCCACACTTTTACTTGCTTAAATTTAGTCAATTTTAGAAATGTGTTCTGAAATTCCTGATGATGGCGCCTCCCTAAAACTCACAGCATTTATAACAGAGAAATTGCTCTCTAAAACGCAATTTTTCGATAGTTTCTAACTGGCTTAGTTCCGGAGATGCACATTTCCAAACATAATTCGACATTTTTGATTGCGAGAATTTGGACAATTTGAAAAATTTCTGACGACGTTGCAAATTTAGAAATATCAAGATTAATCCAAAGGACTTTCCTCTTTAAAATCCAATTTGCACGAACTTTCTAACTGCATTACTTCTCGGGAGATAAATTTTTAAACATGGATCGACACTTTTAACCGCCTAAATTTAGAAAATTTTTAAAATTTTCTCGAAAATTCCTGATGAGTCTGAACACCTGAAACTCTCCGCATTTATGAAAGAAAGTTTTCTCTCTGGAATGCAGTCTTTCGAAAGTTTCCAGCTGGTTTAGTTCCGGAGATGTGAATTTTCAAACATAATTCGACACTTTTAAGTGATTAAATTTAGGCAATTTCAAAATTTTTCTCGAAATTTTCTGATGATGGTGCGCTTTTGAAACTCTCAGAGTTTATCAAAAGGACTTTCCTCTTTCGAATGCAAACTACCCGAACTTTGTA